GTTACATTCTCAGCACGCCAGGAATGCTGTCACATTTGCTTGTGCTTTCAACCAAACGGTCAGTGTCATAACTGATCACATGGGCAGCACCATGGCAGTTGAAGATCAAACAGTCTAGGCTGAAAAGGATAGGGGGGGGGGGGGGGGGGGGGGGGTGTTCCTCTGTAACTGAACAGACTGAAGATAGAAACTGCTTGGTTGCCATACACAGGTGCTCACTCCAGTTTTAGTAAATTCCCCCATTCTCTTTAATATATATATATATATATATATATACACACACTATATAGACCCTATGCTGGTGGAGTGGGTCCTGGGTTTCGCTTGGTGCATGACAATGCTTGGCCTCATGTGGCAAGAGTATGCAGGCAGTTCCTGGAAGAACTGATACCATTGAAGGAATTGATACCATTAACAGGCCCCCATGCTCGCGTGGCCTAAATCCAATAGAACATCTCTGGGATATCATGTTTCTGTCCATTCGACGACGCCAGGTTGCACCTCAGACTGTCCAGGAGCCCAGTGATGTCCATACAAACTACTGAGTACCATTTTGAATTGCTGCACTGAAATTTCAGCAAAATGGACTAGCCTATTGCATAGCTTTTTTTTTCACTTTGATTTTCGGGGTGTCTTTAAATTCAGTCCTCTGTAGGTTGATAATTTTCATTTCCATCAAACGATGGGGCATCCTTACGTTCCTAACATATTACCCAGTCCATAGCAGTATAGATATCCAGGTGTATGATAAGATAAAGCAGGTTGAGCGCTCTTAATAGCAGCTGTGGCACTAAAGGTAACCAAAATATACCTTGATAAAACTGTATAAATAGAAAGTGCAGCGCTTGTAAAAAAAATATGAATGATAAAAATAATAATAATAAATAAAAAGTTCAGATAAGTTTATATAATAAATATGTTAAAAAATCCCCCCTCCGTAGCAGAATTCAAAAAACTTGTGCCTGGGAAAACAACGCTAAAAATGCGCACTCACCAGAAGCGCATAGGTAATATATTTACATGGTGAGTGCGCATTTTCTGGTGAGTGCACATTTTTACCGTTGTTTCCAGGCACAAGCTGTCAGGAATGGGCTGACCTGCCGTGTGGGCTGCAGTACCGATGCTTGCCAGCGGGTGTGTCAGGAATGGGCTCACCTGCCTTGTGGGCTGCAGTACCGGTGCTTGCTAGTGGGTGCTTTCAGCAGCCAGGATCTCACTCCTGCAATCAAGCCATCACCTGAGGCTGATTGCAGGAGGTATACTTAAGCAGCACCAGGCCTGCAATCAGTGCCTTGGTATTTTCCCATGTGCCCTGTTGTCCTGATCCTGTTTCCTGCCTGCTTGACTCTGACTCTGCTAGAACTCCACCTGCACCGACCCCGGCTATTCCTGACCATTCTCCTGCCTGCTCCTGTTGTACCTTATCTGCCCGATTGTTCCGATTGTGCGTTTGTATATTTGTGCTCCTAATAAATTTTATTATTATTTCATCATTTCTGAAGCCTGCTATTCCCTGTGTCAGTCCACACATCTCTGGTCATACCTGGATCCCTGACACAAGCTTTTTGAATTCTGCTACGGAGGGGATTTTTTACCATATTTATTATATGAACTTATCTGAAATTATTATCATTCATATTTTTACAAGCGCTGCACTTTTTATTTATACAGTATAGATATCCAGCATGAGATTTTTCCCTATTGAGATCTGATGTGTTTTCAAATGGCATGGCATTTGTTTTTGACTTCTTTTTCAGGCTCTCTTTTATTTTCACCTAGTGATCTGCCAAATAAGTCTGTTGTTTTTCAGCAGAATAAACTGTCCTGCAGATGTAGCAGTTGAGAGAAACCATTGCTGACATACCAGCACACCAAGCTGATCTCCTTGACAATGTCTGTTTGGACAAAATGCATGTCGGGGCGGGGCGAAACTTGTGACTGACCGTACTCACATTTGACTGGAGCCAGCACCAGAGGCTTTGTATTGTTTTAGGCTTTTATCTGAAGATGTTTGTAAGAAGTTTTCAGGCTGACGTTTAATAAATATTTAACAGTACAACACCATTGGAGGCTTATCTTTTCTTGCCAAGCTTAATTGCAGAGCAGGAGAGGGAGAGTACAGCAAAGTTTCCATCAGAGGCATGGCTTGTGTGCTGAACGATTTATGGTGCAAGACCCACGCAACTTCACACTGTTAGACCTCCTATAAATGTGGCGTCTGATATTTAATTTACTGATATTCACACAGCACTTGTGTTGGTTAATATTTCCTTATAATTATGTAATTCACCTTTCAACTTTATTCTATTTTACACAGTGCAACTATATTGGGATTAATATATTGCATTTCTGGTTTAACCACTTGCCCTCTATTGGATTTACCCCCCTTCCTGACCAGGCCATTTTTTGCAATACGGCGTTGCGTTACTTTAACTGAAAATTGAATAGTCATGCAACACTGCACCCAAATGAGATTTATGTCCTTTTTCCCCACAAATAGAGCTTTCTTTCGGTGTTATTTGATCAACCTGTGCGGTTTTTATTTTTTTGCGCTATAAACAAAAAAAGACCAACAGTTTTGAAAAAAAATATATATTTTTTTACTTTTTGCTATTAAACATGTCCAGTAAAAGAATTTTTTAAAAATCAAATTTCGTCATAAATTTAGGCCAAAATTTATTCTGCTAAATGTCTTTGCTAAAAAAAAAAAAATCCCAATACATGTAAATTATATGAATAAATAAATCTTATAGTGCAGCGCTACTGAAAAATTCCAGTAACAACTCATATAACATTCAAATACAGATATTAGTAGTAAAGTAAATAGATGAATGGTCAAAAACTGATGCCCCACGTGCTCTTATAACATATGTGCAATTAAGTAAGTGTTCTATAGTCCTGTTCCCACTATAGGACTGATAACTCAATAGTCACTCCACACGTGTGCCAACATATACTGGCCCCCTTAAATCACACACTACAGACATGATCAGTGTACATAATATGGTGACCAAAAAGTGATGATTTCCAGTGATGGTGTCAACACACTCCTCCTATGGCTAAATTGCCCCCTCACCTTCACTCTTCGACCCAATGGGCCATCATGCCTTCAAGATCACTAAAAGATCTTACTCCAATAATAGTGGATATCCTCAATGCTCCTTCCGTGGACCCCTTCACAGGTGGATCAGTATTCAAGACTCTCAGGATAGTGACATCAACTAAATGTACCACTCATCATAGACCATGATGAGTGAAGAAAAAATCCTTCATAGTGTAGTATTTAATGCAAATCGTCAGCTTCTTTAATGAGATAAAAAATGCCCACTCACTTGTAACATATATATCCAGTTAACAGCACTAGCAAACCACATGCATGGGTGTACTGCATGGGTTAGGGCTCATGCAGGTGTAGTAAGATGGCGGCCATACCAGATGTACGTCACTGTGGACCAGAAGCTGCATCACGGCATATCTACGCGTTGCATCACTGTAACACCTGACTGCGTCAGGATATCGCCATTGGTGCGCAATTCTTCCATATAAAGGGAGCTGGTCTTGAGTGGAGCACGAACCTGAACCATTTATGAACTTTTTCCATTAAGAGAATAAATGTGTAATTGTTGGTCACCATATTATGTAAGGGGGCCAGTATATGTTGGCACACGTGTCGAGTGACTTTTGAGTTATCAGTCCTGTAATGGGAACAGGACTATAGAACACTTACTTAATTGCACATATGTTATAAGAGCACGTGGGGCATCAGTTTTTGACCATTCATTTATTTACTTTACTACTAATATCTGTATTTGAATGTTATACGAGTTGTTACTGGAATTTTTCAGTAGCGCTGCACTATAAGATTTATTTATTCCTGTTCACTGCAAAAGGTATCGGTTTGGAGTGCTAGCGTCTTGTATTTTCAGGTACTCCATAGAGCGCAGGAGGAATTTACACTTATGTAAATTATATGGTTTACGTGAAAGTTATAGAGTCTACAAATGGCGGTATATATACACTGGAATTTTTAAAAAAATGTTTTATACTAGTAATGGCGGAGATCAGCGACTTCAGCTGGCATTCTGAAACTGGGTAGGAACTAACTGCCACTGACATCCCAATGACACTAATACAGTGATCAGCGCTAATAAAAAGCACTGACACTGTACTAATGACACTGGGCAGGAAGGGGTTAACATCTGTGGTGATCAAAGGGTTAACAGTGTGCTGTTTTACATTTATTTATTTCAGGTACTGATATAGCGCCGTCAATTTACGCAGCACTTTACATATATATTGTACATTCACATCAGTCCCTAACCCTCAAGGGGTGTACAATCTAAGGTTCTTAACTTACATTCATACACATATTAGGACCAATTTAGACAGGATCCAATTAACCTACCAGCATGTCTTTGGAGTGTGGGAGGAAACCGGAGTACCCGGAGGAAACCCACGCAGGCACAGGGAGAACATGCAAAATCCAGGCAGGTGGTGCTGTGGCTGGGATTCAAACCAACGACCTTAGTACTGCTAGGCAGAAGTGCTAACCATTTAGCCACTGTGCTGTCCTTAATGTGCTGTGTGTGTTTTACTAGGGAAACAGAGAGATACACAGCAACATATTCTTTCTGGCAGGAGAGAGACATTTGGTGTTTACACACAGGTCTCTCCCATCAGTGATACTCGGCGATTGCCTGGTGCCAGCGGGGAATCTCTGGCCAGGACCTGCTGATTGACATCCATAGCCGCCAATGCAAATCACGTATTTATACATGATTTTGCGCAGCCCTGCCACCCTTTAGCAGTAATTCTACTATAGGGCGGTGGGGAAACAATGCTTTAATTAAAAGGCAGCTTCTAAAATAACTTGCTATTCACTTTTCTTCCCAGCAGTCTGTGTTTTTATTGTCTATGTACAGTAACGCAGTGGAGTTTTAAATAGACAAAGGCTTTTGGCCTTCACACCATCATAGAAGTAGAAGTTTCTGGATACTTACAGACTCTTCACTGCCTCCTGCTAAAGGGCGAAACGTCCAGGACACCGTAACATCTAGGCCTAAAGGTGACGAGGAACTGAATGTACATTTCAGGCGGACATCTGTTCCATTGACTGCTTGGACCTGCTTTGAGGTATACACATCCATTGATGAAACTAGGGAATAAAAAAAGATGGTTACAGTTCAGTTTATTATAATTATTAATAAACAGAGTTTATATAATGTCAACAGTTTGCACAGTGCTTTACAAAATAAAGGGAGACTGAACAGTTACAATACAATTCAATTCAATACAAAATTAGTAGGGTCCTGCTTTTTGAACTTACAATCTAAAAAGGGAAGGGCAGGTTGTATATAATGTAATAGTTGTGGGGGATAAGCTCATGGACAATGTCCAAGTATAATTATTAGGTGCAGGCAGAGTAGGCTTCCCTGAAGAGATCACGTAAAGCTGGACAGAGTAGAAGATAGCCGGACAGGTAGGGGTAGAGAATTCCAGGTGATGTCCTGGAGGCAAGCATAGGAAGAGGTGATGAGGAACTAGGAAGCTGGAGGTCTTGGAGGAGTGGAATTAATTATTTAGATGATGTTTGGAGATGAGGTTGGACAGTTGTGGATGGCTTTGTATGTTGTGGTTCAGGGGTGCTCAACCCATGGCCCACAGAGCCCTCTGATGTAGCCCACGACCACAAGCCAGGAAAGCGCGGGCCGGAAACACATTGATCGCAATCTGGGCTTGCTAACCTGCTATCCCAGAAGATCAGAGTGCATTGAGCCAGAGCCGGCAGTGGAAGAAGCAGGTGGCCACAGAGGGAGTAGGAGCTGTATTAGCCGATGCTTTCTCTCTAGCGCAGGTTCCTGTCCCAGGTGGAGTGATACCAAGTGCACTTTGCCTGGAAACTTTCTATCAGCCTGCAGGACGATGCCAGCAGAAGGTGGGAGAGGACAAGAAGGCCACACATATACAATGGGCATATTAGCACCTATAAAAGGGTTAAGAACTATTAGACTGCTTTCACATTGATCCGCGGGTGCAGAACAGTGTACCTGTGCTTTTTGAAAGTGCACCTAAACTCCTAAATGCAGGAGTTTTGGTGCACTTTCAGAAAGTGCACCACACCCGCAAGGTATAATAAAAGATTATGGCTAACCCGCAGGAAAGCTGCAGGTGCATTGTGCTGCACCCACGGTGTGGGTAAACTACAGCACATCAGTGTGAAAGCAGCCTTATAGGGATAGTAAGGGCTCATTTACATTTGCAGTTTGGGGGGCAGTAAAACTCCATAGTTGAGATGTGCTTTTAGCACTATCCCCCCCACCCCCTCCAAGTACTAGTGTAGCATCAGGGGTCACAATGGGAACCCCCCCCCCCCCATGCTCCAAGGGGCTCATGCGGCCTCCCTCTCACATTGTGTTTTACACTTGGACAGGAGGGGCATCATTTACAGGAACCGATCCCCTCCATTTTCCTCCTGCAACCACTGAAAGCCAGCTTCTCCTCCTTTCCCTCCCGTGGGTATTCAGCGGCTGCAGGAGGAAAATGTTCATTCTGCTATTAAAAAAAATTAAAATTTGAAACCATTTCATTTCATTGTGGCCTGTGATCGGTTACCAAATCCTTTAAGTGGCCCTCACTCTTCAAATGGCTGAGAACCCCTGTTGTATATAGTATTTTACATTTTATATGTTGGGCTACTGCACGCTAGTGTAGGGATTGGCAGAGAGAGTCATCAGCATCCATGAGAGGCTGAAGGAGGGATTTGGAGACGAAGCTACGCTACTTTTTAGTGAAACGCGTTGATGTCACACGTAACGTCACGTGATGCCATCTTTCCACATGGGAACCTTATGATGATGGCGTCCCAAAGGAGTCGGAGAAACACAGAGGAGAAATGTGACGTGTCCAAATCAAGGGGAGCAGAGCAGTCATCCCTCCGAATACACAGGATTGACACTGGTGGAACTTTCACACTCAGAGAGAATTGCAAACAGCCGTAAGAGTGGTAAAGCATACACTACTTTCACTGAAAAGTATTGAAGACCTATATGGACACTTGACCATTTAGCCACTCCAGATATATTAGGTCCAGGCTGCACCGGGAGGAACATGGAGCAAAAGGTCTTATTGTGATATCCATAGCTGGTCGTATGTTTTTGCTAATGCTGCTCTTTACACATGAAAGCATTTGTGTTAATCACTGCACAGGACTTTTATATAGTCTCCCTTCTTTCAATACTCCATACAAAGACAATCTATGTGATGAAAATAGGTGACAGTATTGGAAAAGGATACAACTGATTGGATGAACTTTTATTCAAGGACTGATATGCCGACACAATACAGGGCCCTGCTATACTTATTAAGCATAGTTCTTAAAGTCATGGCAATCAATTGATACATCATAGTGCACTCTATGCTCTATAGCACTAGTTGGTGCATAAGGTTTCACAAGACTCACACATGGGAAATACTGATCACAATACAATTTCTTTAACCCATTATGCAGCTTTTGCTGCAGTATAGAACTCATGTGTGACTCTACATGCATCCGGACGTTCATTTGTCATTTATGTTTGCCTTGTCTTTTTTGTCTATTCATGCAGTTATGTTTTTCAAACTATGATATTTATGACTGTTTTTGCTTGGATTTCACCTTGGTGGTTATTTTAACCAATATTTAGCAGTAATAAAATATTGAATTTTTTTAATACACTTGGAATATATTTGTCACCAACAGTAACCACTGTACGCACCTTTTGGGTTGTTTTGGTTTGTTCAGTTGATTTTGGTTACGGTGACAACGCCTAAATCTAAGCGGAGGCGTGCTGGTATACCTACATATTTTTATAGATCAACCTCAAATGTTTAGTTAAGTGAAGGAGGGATTTAGACTATTTGCTTACTGGGCCAATTCTGACATTTCTCCTATACGTGTAAAAATCTGTGGTTTTTGTTTTGTTAGAAAACTACTGAGAACCCCAGTTATATCTTTTTTTTTTTAAAGCAGAGGCCCTATATAATAAAATAGTGGGTGTTGCAATTTTTTATGTCACACAGTATTTTAGAAAACAAATGCACTGTAATGAATTTTTCTGAACACAAACACAATAATAATACACAATTGTTTGGTAAAATATAAAAGACGGTGTTACGTCGAGTAAATAGATACCAAACATGTCATCCTTTAAAAGCTGCACATGCCCGCGGAATGACGACAAACTATGGTACAGCGGAACTTCACGCTCTCAGTCAGCATAGATTATTTTTAATTTTTATGCTGCTAGCATTAGTCAAAATATAGGAAAGTGTATCGTTATTACTTGTTTTAACCTTTGTTTTTTTTTACATTTCTAAAATTACTTCCTGGTTTCCATGCCTAAGCAAATGATGCCATACATCCCAGGAGTCTTCAGGAGGGGAGGAGGGGTTTTCTCAGCTAATTACACCCTCCTGCCTGCATGTCTGAGCTAAGGGCAGATGGATTCCAAAAAGTAAATGCTACATGAATCATCTGCCCTTACTCAAGATGGGCACAGCCATAAAAGCTAGGGGAGGTGTTTTTCAAAGTGATTTCTCAGCAAAATAAAGCATGGAGACATGGATGGATGGGTGAGTTTGCACTGAATAATAAAAATAACTAATACCAGGTCAGAGTTACACAGGAGGTCTGGCACTAGAAATATTGCTCTCACTCTAACGTTCATGGTGATACATGTGTGGTGCAATCACTGTTTACATATCAATGCAGGACTTCCGTGCACATTCAAATTTGCATGTGAGCTGAGAGGGACAGGAACACTTTACATTTTTTTTTTTATTATTTATTTCATTTAAATGTATTTGAACAACTTTATTGCTATCAGAAGGGATGAACAACAACCATTGTGATAGCACAGGCTGTTTCAGGTCCTCTTTATGGAGGACCCTACTAGATCCCATATCTTGCCTGTGGCCTCCAAAACAACTAATCAAACCGAGATTGGTTCGATCAGGTGATTTTACAAGTTGGTAATGGCTTGTTTACAACACATCCAAACAGGAAGTGACAAAATCCTAGCCGCTTCCGGTTTCTAGCATCACAAAGTGGGAGGAACAACATCAGTTCCTGTATCTGGGTAAGCTGATCGCATCCTTACTGGGCTCTTATGGGACCGAAGTGTGTGTGTGGGTTGTTGGAGTCTCACACCTCCTTAAAAAGTGATCCAGCGGCTGAATAGTCACCTGGATTACCGTCACATTGTACAGAGTCCCCTGCTATAAAAATCAATGCCAGGGTCATAGCTGTAGCCTCAACCATGATCCTTGTAATACCACCTCAATATCAGGTCATATATACAGTGATATACAGAGTTTTCTTCTCGTCTTTTCATCAATTTTGAAGGAACGTCCAGTTCTAGGTAATGTCACTGTTGCACCATATTTTCTCCACTTGATGACTGTCTTCACTGTGTTCCATGTTATATCTAATGCCTTGGAAATTCTTTTGTACCCTTCTCCTGACTGATAACTTTTAACAATGAGATCCCTCTGATGCTTTGGAAGTTCTCTGTAGTCCATGGACTTTGCTGTAGGATGCGACTAACAAAATGTCAGGAAAGATCTACAAGAACAGATGAACTTTATTTGGGGTTAATCAGAGGCACTATTAATGATGGCAGGTGTGTACTGACTCCTATTTAACATGATTTTGAATGTGATTGCTTAATTCTGAACACAGCTACATCCCCAGTTATAAGAGTGTGTGCACACTTATGCAACCACATTATTGTACTTTAGGTTTACTCCCCCCCTTAAAAGATATCAGTTTGTTTTTCAATTGAGTTGTACAGTTTATAGGTCACATTAAAAGGTGGAAAAAGTTCTGAAATTAATTATCTTTGTCTCATTTTTTTACATCACAGAAGCCTGACATTTTAACGGGGGTGTGTAGACTTTTTATATTCAGTGTGTGTGTGTGTGTGTGTATTTTTTTTTTTCCCAAGGGGAACACACCTCTAGCACTGAATGCGTGTAATGGCAAGGAGTGCTGGGGTGTGCTGGAGAGTCTATGGATGCTGGCTGCTGGGGATCTATTGTTTCTGGGCGGGGAATCTCTTGAAGAGGAAAGGGTTTATTGGTGCTGAAGGGTCAATTGTTGCTGAGAGGG